ATTCCTCCCACTGACACCAATGATGGGGCACAATTCTTCCCACTGACACCAATGATGGGGCACTATTCCTCTCACTGACTAATGATGGAGCACTATTCCTCCCAATGACACTAATGATGGGACACTATTCCTCACACACTGACACTAATGATGGGGCACTATCATTAGTGTCAGTGGGAGGAATAATGCCCCATCATTGGTGTCAGTGGGAGGAATAGTGTCCCATCATTGGTATCAGTGGGAGGAATAGTGCCCCATCATTGGTGTCAGTGGATGAAATATTGCCCCATCATTGGTGTCAGTGGGAGGAGTAGTGCCTCATCATTGGTGTCAGTGGGAGGAATCGTGCCCCATCATTGGTGTCAGTGGAAGGAATAGTGCCCCATCATTGGAATACCATACTGAAATAGCATGCCATATTGAAATCAAATCTGATGTTTTTTTCATTTTTATTTGGTGTGCGTTGGAAGAGGGGTAGTCTTATACGGCGAGTATAGCTCATACCCTATATTTTAACAGGAAAAGTAGGGGGTCGTCTTATACGCCGGCAAATACGGTAAATATTTTATTATTTATTTTCCAATTACCATTTTTTAAATATACAAAAGCTAATAAAACAGACAAAATAAGTTACACAAATTTGTCCAACATTCTCAAAATATAACATTAATCTTAGTAACCTTTTACCCCTCCCTCTTCCCTCCTCCTCCCTCCCCTACCCCGCCCCCTTGATTATGCACTTTTCCCTTCATTCTAAAGATCTTATTTCTAGAATAATACTGATATTATATTGTAATTGTCCCCATGACTTCTTTCCTCTATTTCACATATTCTAGGTATAAATCTGATATTTTAAATTCTACCCACTTTTCCCACCTTGTACGGAAAACCTCCATTTTTATCTTCCTCCATATGGCAATAAGTCCCTTCTCATTCGATAATACAATAATCTATACGTCTTCTCCACCCTTTTTGTGACACTCCCAGTGTTCCATCCCACCATAAGTGAAACATTGTACCTCTATATCCACATCCTCGCCAACATAACGGTGAATTATCTCCACTTATTCTATGTGCTACATTCGGTGTAATATACCATTTTACCAAACAGTTGTAATTCATTTCTACTTCCTTCATATTTACATTCCTGTGATTTAAACTATACATTTTCTTTTGTTTTCCTTCATCAATTATTACTTCTAAATCCCTTTCCCATTTCTCCAAAGAGTCCTTATAGTCCTTGTCCTTGAATCTATTCCTCCACTTACAAAAGTAATTCAGTTTGTTTAGTTATATTTCTGTACTAAAGAAGACATGTTTTTCATTAAAGCGGAACTAAACTCTCCGTCAATATTAACTGTTTTTGATCCTAATGCTTTTAGCACTAGTAAATAGATAGGAAGGTATATTATATTAACTTGGTTTGGACTTTATTTTTTAAATTTCTTCCGTTGCTACCTGGTTTCTGACCTAGGCCAAAATGATGTCATATATCCAGTGAGTCCTTTTTTTTTCAATTTAAATATTTTATTATTTCTTTTCCAATTACCATTTTTAAATATACAAAAGCTAATAAAACAGACAAAATAAGTTACACAAATTTGTCCGACATTCTCAAAATATAACATTAATCTTAGTAACCTTTTACCCCTCCCTCATCCCTCCTCCCTCCCCTACCCCGCCTTGATTATACACTTTTCCCTTCATTCTAGAGATCTTGTTTCTAAAATAATACTGATATTATATTGTATTTGTCCCCTATGACTTCTTTCCTCTATTTCACATATTCTAGGTATAAATCTGACATTTTAAATTCTACCCACTTTTCCCACCTTGTACGGAAAACCTCCATTTTATCTTCCTCCATATGGCAAAGTTTCTCCGTTCTATACGTCTTCTCCACCCTTTCTACCCAATCCTTTATTTTCGGTGCTTGTTGTTCCCTTCAAAACTTGGGTATCAATCCCTTCACTGCATTCAGATAATACAATAATCCAGTTTTTTTATATTTTTTTTTACCGAGAACTCAGTACCATAAAGAAGACAAGTCTCTGGGTCCTTTGCAATATTGACTTCCTTTATTGCCTGAATTATGTGTTCTATACCCTCCCAGTGTTCTTGGATTTTGTGACACTCCCACCATAAGTGAAACATTGTACCTCTATATCCACATCCTCGCCAACATAACAGTGAATTATCTCCACTTACTCTATGTGCTACATTCGGTGTAATATACCATCTTACCAAACAGTTGTAATTCATTTCTACTTCCTTCATATTTACATTCCCGTGAATTAAACTATACATTTTCTTTTGTATTCCTTCATAAATTATTACTTCTAAATCCCTTTCCCATTTCTCCAAAGAGTCCTTATGAGCATTTCTTTTCTTTCATCTGGTAGAGGGGGAAGAGAAGTTTTCATTTTTTTTGTTTTTTTTTTAGCTAAACACACCCTCCTGCCTGCATGCCTGAGCTAAGGACAGATGGATTGTAGGAAGTAAACACTGCATGAATCATCTACCCTTTTACTTAAGATGGCCACAGCTAGAAATACCAGGGGGGCGTTTTTCAAAGTAATTTCTCAACAAAATAAAGCATGGAGACATGGATGGATGGGGGAGTTTGCTTTGAATGGTACAAATTAATTACATATTCAGTTTGTTTTGCTCAGATACAGTTAAAGTGGTTGTAAAGACTCAAAGTTCTTTTACCTTCTTGCATTCTATGCATGAAGGTAAAAAACCATCTGTGTACAGCAGCTCCCCCAGCCCCCCGCCCCCTTAAACTTACCTGAGCCCCCTTTCAATCCAACAATGTGCACTAGAGCCTTGACTCTACTTGGTCTCTGCTTCCTCATTGGCTGAGACAGTAGAGGTAGCCATTGGCTCCTGCTGCTGTCAATCACAGCTGATAAGCCAGTGATGAGAGAATGAGGAGGGAGTGGGGGGCGAGTCACGCTCCAATTGTGAACGGACGCACATAGCAGTGGCTCAGGAGCGAGCCGGCTCAGGTGCACCCATAGCAAGCTGCTTTCTCTGGGGGCAGGAGGGATTGGCCAGGAGCAATGGCAGGGGACCTGAGAAGAGGAGGATCTGGGCTGCTCTGTGCAAAACCACTGCACAGAGCAGGTAAGCCTGACATGTTTGTTATTAAAAAGAATTATTAAAAAAAAAAAAGTTCAATATAATTTTTGGGCTGTTTTAACTGGTATTTGTTTTCATTCACAAAGCTTTACACAGAGAAAAGGCTCTTTATTTTCAGCCATGTGATTTGTAATTTTCAAATATTATCAGACTTATTGGTTGAGAATAACACACACTTTATCTTTTTCCTGATGTTTTAACTTTAATGGAGAAGTACCTCCAAAGCTTTTTTGGCTGTACTTCTGTGGATTACAAGAGTGCAGTTCGTTCTGCACTCCTGTGACCTGTTGATGTCACTCAGCCGGTCCAGGCTGGGGAAAGGGCTCGACTGTAAAGTCGAGATCCACCCCAGAGTCTGGAGCGGCATCTAGCTCAGGCTCTCAATGAAGCGCTGAGAGCCTGAGCCAACCGTTTCCTTCCCCTCCACAGCCCAGCACTCCAGTGAGCCCTGGGGGAGCTGTGAAGACAGTGGTGACTGACAGTCCCACTCTTTGCTCAGAGCAGCTGTGAAAACTCAGTGATCAGCGGTCATGTGATCACTCACCCTTAGAGCTGGCGGGGGACAGATGCAGTATCGGACCGATGCTACATCCACCTAGCTACATATAAATAGGGAGAAAAAAAAGCCCTACTTCTCTTTTAATCACTTGACCTCCTGAGGGTTTTACCCCCTTCATGGCCAGGGCATTTTTTTTCTGTTTAGAACTGTGCTACTTTAACTGACAATGGCTCAGTCACAGGACAGTGTACCCAAATGAGGTTTACATCATTTTTTTTACACAATTAGAGCTTTCTTTTGGTTGTATTTAATTTTATTTATTAATTTTTTTGCTATGTAAAATAAAAAAATACCAAATATTTTGAAAAATTCGATGGGTAAGCTTTGCAGTTGGGTTTAAGGCTAGTGCTTTCTAATTCTTTAGAAATAATGAAATTTAACTGGTTCCCGCCTGGCCTATGGCCGAATGGCGGCTGGCAAAAACCCTCACCGTTCCGGGTGGACTCCATATGGCATCCTTTCAGGCATGCGCAGTTTGCGCGCCTGCAGAGCCGCGCAGTGGCGCGATCTGTCACCGGCCGTGTACCTCGGACACAGCCGATGACAGATCTGAGTACCGGCCCCATTGCCGGTACCATGCCAGTACCATGTGACCTGCTGTGACCAATCACAGCAGGTCACATGACAGTTGTATACAATGGATGGCTTCATTCATACCATCCATTGTATACTAGTGTGTCTAGCTGAATGGTCACAGCGACCACATGCACAAGCTGGGCCAATCACAGCCCAGCTGTGTCATGTGATTAGCCGTGGCCAAATCACAGCTAAGCACATAAAAAAAAAAAGAAAAACCTGAATGAATCGATGTCATTCAGGAAATGCTTGCTTATAGCAAAGTAATTCTTTGCTATAAGCAAACTGTGTATAAAAAAAAAAAAAATAAATACTGATCACTTCCCCAAAGTAGTGCAATGTTACTATGGTAACACTGTACTACTTTGGTCGTAGTGAAATATGAAAATAAAATCTTAAAAAAAAGAAAAAAAAGTAATACAAAAATAAAAAAATAATAAATTTTTTAAAAAAAAAATTATATATTTTTTTTCACACTGTCACCAGTCAGTGTCCCTGATCACCGCCATGCCAGCTATATGATGACGCTGTACTGCACTGGTGACAGTATGTAGAAAAGAAATAGTGAAAAAATATATTTTTTTTTTTCATTTTCCGAAAAATTATTACAAAAAAAATACAACTTCAAAAAACGCGCCATGACTCCTATGAAGTACGTTGGACTGTCTACTTTGCAAAAAGGGGTCATTTGGGGGATATCTGTACTGTTCTGTTCAGATATATCCCATAGTTTGTGAACTCTATAACTTTCCTACGAACTAAAAAATATATCCTAATTTGGGTTATTTTCACCAAAGACATGTAGCAGAATACATCTCGGCCTAAATTTATGAAGAACAATTATTTATTTGCAAACTTTTATAACAGAAACAAAGAAAAACGTGTTTTTTTTTTTTTTTTTTTTTTTCACAATTATCTGTATTTTTTGTTAATTTAGCAACAAATAAAAACCCCAGCGGTGATTAAATACCACCAAAAGAAAGCTCTAGTTGTGTGAAGAAAATGATAAAATTTTAGTTTGGGTACAATGTTGTATGACCGCGCAATTGTCATTCAAAGTGTGAGAGCGCTGAAACCTGAAAAATGGCCTGGGCAGGAAGGGGGTAAAAGTGCCCGGTATTGAATTGGGTAAGAGATTTTGAGAGATCTGAAAAAGTATTTCAGAAGTAATATAGGTAAGGTTGGAGATTCATACAGAGGATTGCCTTGTTAATCCAGATATTGCTCTAAAGTAGAGAAACTATCATATGCAAGATTGCTTTGTTAGGTAAGCCATAGATTATGCAGTTTTCAACCCGTGGTTGAAGGAAAGAAAATTTCTCAATATCCCCTTCAACACAGTCAGTGTAGATGGGGGGGGGGGGGGGGCGGGCGGGCCCACAGCGATATGTGTGTTCGCTGGTGGGGAGCGAGGGAAACCTTCCCCACCAGCAGACTACAATGTTCACTGCTGGCGGCAAGGATCGCATGACAAAAATCGACAGGCTGGTTATACTTATATCCATATATAAATGGATAGAAAACTGGCTAAAAGATCATATTCAGTAGTGGTCAATGATTCACACTCTGAATGGTCTGGGGTTGTCAGTGGCGTACCCCAAGGTTCAGTGTTGGGACCTTTTACTTTTTAATATATTTATAAACAATAGAGGGTCTGGAATTAAAAATCCCATTTCAGTCTTTGCAGATGACACCAAGCTGTGCAGTGGAATAATGTCCTTACAGGATGTCTCCAATTTACAAGCCAACCTCAATGCACTGTTTAATTGGGCAACTATGCGGGAAATGAGGATTAATGTTGATAAATCTAAGGTTCTGCACTTGGGGGCTAAGAATATGCATGCATCATACATACTGGGGGGGGGTACAACTAGGGGAATCAATGGTGGAGAAGGATCTGGGAGTTCTGGTAGATCATAGGCTTAATAATGGCAGCAATGCCAAGCTGCGGGTTCTAAAGCGAGCAAAATCCTCTCTTGTATTAAGAGGTATAGACTCCAGAGAGAGAGAGAGAGATATCATATTACCACGGTACAAATCATTAGTAAGACCTCATCTGGAATATGCAGTTCAGTTTTGGGTACCAATTCACAAAAAGAACATTTGGGAACTGGAGAAAGTGCAGAGAAGGGCAACCAAACTGATAAGAGGCATGGAGGAGCTCAGCTATGAGGAAAGATTAGAGGAACTGAATTTATTCTCTCTTGAGGAGATTAAGGGGGGATATGATCTCCATGTATAATACATAAGGGGGGGATATGATCACCATGTATAATACATAAGGGGGGGGATATGATCACCATGTATAATACATAAGGGGGATATGATCACCATGTATAATACATAAGGGGGGATATGATCTCCATGTATAATACATAAGGGGGGATATGATCTCCATGTATAAATACATAAGGGGGGGCGGGATATGATCTCCATGTATAATACATAAGGGGGGATATGATCTCCATGTATAATACATAAGGGGGGATATGATCTCCATGTATAATATAATAAGGGGGGATATGATCTCCATGTATAATACATAAGGGGGGATATGATCTCCATGTATAATACATAAAGGGGGATATGATCTCCATGTATAATACATAAAGGGGGATATGATCTCCATGTATAATACATAAAGGGGGATATGATCTCCATGTATAATACATAAGGGGGATATGATCTCCATGTATAAATACATCAGTGGTTCATATAGTGAACTCGGTGTAGAGCTATTCACCCTGAGGACATCACAGAGGACAAGGGGGACACTCTTTACGTCACACAACACAAAAAATTATTTTTCCTAACAAATTCATTCAAGACCACGTTGCAAAAATGAATACACCCCAATAAAGGTCTTAGAAACAAAGCTAAATTTTACACAACAAAATACTATTAACAAGAATTCAACTAAAGATAAGTCTAATTATTCATTAAACAGGTGTCCAGCAGACAGTTGATTATAAAAGGCTGTTACTTAACAAAGAAAATCCCTCCCATTTCATGCTGTCGACAATGACACCACATGGAAGAGAAATGTCACAAGGCCTGAGAAAGAAAATAATTTCTTTAGACAAGAAAGGTGAAGGCTACAAGAAGATCAGCAAAGCTTTACTTATCAGTCAGAATACTGTAGCAAAAGGGATACAAAAATTTAACAAAGATGGAACTGCAACTATCTCACAGAGATGTCCAGGCCGTCCACGGAAGTTAACAATTCGACAGGAGCATCTTCTGATGAGACGGGTTGAAGAAAATCACCATGCAAGTTCACTGCAGTTAGCTAAAGAAGTAGAAAGCCAAACTGGGGTGATTGTTTCATGTGACTCAATACAGCGTACACTGTAGAGGAAAGGCATCCATGAAGGAAGCCTCTTCTAAAGCCCATGTACAAAAAAGCCCACCGAGAATTTGCCAGGGCCCATGCTGAAAAAGATGACTACTGGGACTCTGTACTCTGGAGTGATGAGACCAAAATAAATGTTTTTGGAACTGATGGCTTCAAAACTGTATGGCGTTGCAAAGGTGAGGAGCACAAAGAAAAATGCATGGTGCCTACAGTGAAACATGGTGGTGGCAGTGTCATCCTGTGGGGCTGCATGAATGCTGCTGGTGTCCGGGAGCTGTATTTCATTGAGGGTATCATGAATTCACAGATGTACTGCTCTATATTGAAAGAGAAGATGTTACCATCACTCCGCACCCTTGGTTGTCGTGTACTTTTCCAACATGACAATGATCCAAATCACACTTCTAAACCCACTGTTGCATTTCTGAAGAAGAACAGGGTGAAAGTGATTCAGTGGCCAAGTATGTCTCCTGATCTGAACCCAATCGAACATCTATGGGGGATTCTGAAGAGACAAGTTGAGCATCACTCTCCATCCAGCATCCAGCACCCAGGCTCTAAAAGAGAAGACTTTGTGCTGTCCTTACAAATCATGGAAATCATACAAAATACTAGATGTAGTAGTTTTTTGTTGTGGGGTGTATTCATTTTTGCATTAACTAATTTGAGTAAAACTGAAGATTTTGTAATCTAAGTTATATTATTAACTTCACTTTCATGTAATGAGCTGAACAAATGTATAAAACTCAAGTTTTTTGTCAAACTTTTGGAAATTGTCCTTGTGTTTATTGAGATATTGATTAAAATCTTTCTTTTCAAAAGGGTGTACTCCTTTATTCTGAGCACTGTAAGTTTTTGACGTAAAAATGATAGCGTCTACAAACTATGGTGTGTGTATTTGTGTATGTAAGTATATAATGGGACTGGGATAGTGCGGCGGGCAATCTAACACTGGGGGGGAACTGACTAACTGCCACTGACATCACCAGTTACATTAATACAGTGATCAGTGATGATAGTATACACTGTCGCTGTACTAATGGTACTGGCTGGGAAGGAGTTAACATCTAGGGCGATCAAGGGGTTAAATGTGTGCCTAACAATGTGTAAAGTGTGCTGCTTTTACGAACAGATCTTCACGTTTCTTATCCCTTCTTTGCAGAAATATGAAACGGAGAGATTGTTCCCTCTCTACAGAGCCCTGTGTTATATGTCAACACAGGGCTGTGGGCTGTGATTGGACCCAGCCAATCAACAGGTCCCAGCCATGAATCATTGACCGGGACTTGCTGACAGACTCCTGTCGTGTACAATCACAGCGGGTGTATGTCGGTGGGGGGGTGTGCATGTGCGCACGCTATACCTGGCAGCAGGCAACAACGTACCAGTACATGGCTGTGCCTGAGCAAGCCACCGGCAGCAGTACATTGCGAGCAGCTGGTCCCTAAGTGGGGTAAACTCCATGCAGTGATGTGCAAGTTAAGTCACCTTGCCAAGAAATCTAGTAGCGTTGGCCGGGACACATCAGTACTGGATAAGTTTCAACATTCTCTCACTTTCCCCTTGCAATGTCATTTCATTACATCTGTAGATCCAGATATAATTTTGTGTATTTATAACCTTTTGTTATATTCTTTTTTTCTTTATTCCCTTTTGGCACCTTGAAAAAAAATAGATGCAGTATGCCAACTTGTTATACTTCTATCCACCTGTATTGTAAAAATTCATGTTTTAAGAGAACTTGAGACTCCCCATGCTTGTAAATACATTCTCTGCGTGGTGCACAGTAAATCCTTCTTGTCATGCAGTTACTGGCTTGATACTTCTGTACAGCTTCTGCAGAATGAAAGAAAGCCAGATAGCTTGAGAGTTTTGTGAGCCATAGGTTCCTGTACTTTAATTTTACATAATCTTGCATTTTGGACTGCATATAATGTTGGTAAATGAGAGGAACTGCCTTGAAAGCGGCCCTTGATTCTGAGCTATTTAAGTTACATTTTTAGTTTCAGATAATATTGTCAGAAATTACAGTGAATTTGCCTCGTGTGTGCTAAATTGCTTGCATCTGTTATTTACAAACACCATTGTGGTTATACTTTGAAAAAGAAATACCGTTTGCCTCAGACCTGGAAAAATGAATGCAGTCTATTGTGTGAATTAAAACCAAAACATTTTTCAAGCTGTAGCATCTCGTTCAAATGGGTGATGGTAAAAACTGGCAGTTGAGTCATGGTTTTACTGCCCCCAGACCATCCAGCTAAAAGATTACATGCCGTTGCTCAGGGTTTTGCGCTTGCTGGGGCCACAGTGCTTAGCTTCATGGCTAAGGTTATTATTATTATACAGTATTTATATAGCGCCAAAGGGTTTGCTCAGCGCTGTACAAAGGCAGGGGGACAAGACATGAGACAAGACAGAGACAGTGCGATACACGAGGGGTTAGAGGGACC